TAGGGTGTTAATTGTCTGATTCTAAATTTCTTGAAAAAGACTTTATTTGTCTCAAAAAGGGAGTGAAAAAAAGATAGTTTGTTTCCATTGAAAATGAGTGGAAAATAATACAAGGAAATAAAATAAAAAGAAACATGTTCCTGCATGTTATGAAAAAGAAACAATTTATTTCTATTGAAGTCGAAAATTGTGTTTGTCCTGAGTCCAACAAAAACATATGCCCCCACCTACAAATGATGAATAGTCGGTGCCTAACTGAAATTTTATAAAATGCCTTAATTTATTATTAAGATTTGAGATTTAGGATGTTTGAAATATCATTTTTCAAATAAAGTCCGGTTTTCCAACAGTTACTGTCATTGTGTTACAGGCCTGTAAGGCCATGTGAACTAGTCTGGCCTTTTAGCATACGTCTTTTAGCATACGTCGTCTGTAAACATTCACATTTTCATCTTCATAATTTATTCATTTATTAAAAATGTTTAAACTTGGCTTTCTTATGTGTATTTGTGTCACCAGACAACTACTTTTTTGGTGGTAAAAAATAATTATACTCCCACTATAGGAGCGAGGGCAATATACAATCTTCTTGTAAATCTGTCTGTACATCTGTCTGTCTGTCTGTATGTCTGTCTGTCTGTCTGTCTAATAGATAATTATTTCTCAGAACTTACAGAAAGCAATGAACTTCTTTTTTGGATAGCAGCTCAACAGAGATGAATGCAAACGTATTATTGCTTTTAAGATCTATTGGACACATATTTCCGATTTGCCCTTACTTTCAATTACGAGCTGGTGGTATACTTAGCCTCAATAACATGTTTTGATTGAATTTGCTTCTGATTTTTTTTCACAGCTCAAGTTTTGGTTTAGATGGTGTCATTGTCCTGTCACAGTAAAACAACAGGGTTGAATACAGGTGCCCTAAAGAGTTCAAAATGGGTCTTCAACGCAGTTAGAAAATCCCGCACCTAGAGGAAGCTTCAGCTGGCCCCTAAACAATAATTATGCTAGTTCAGCGAATTGGACGCTACACTAAACTCCGAAACATACAAATGAACATAAATAAAAAAAAAACACACACACACAAAACTGATATCAATCTTCCCCCTATACCTTTAGCTAATGTGGAAAAAACAACCACACTAGCTGTCAGTAACTGTAACTACTCTCAGATCTGTACTTAGTGTCTTTTTGTTGTTGGGATGTATAAGTACCCGTCCACGTCCACTCTGTGTTTTTGTTAGATGTATTTCTATTTGTATCCATCTGATGAGTTAAGCCTTTTTCAACTGATTTTTATAGTTTGTTCTTATTTTGTACTGTTACACCACTGTCTTAGATTAGGGGTCGGGGTTGTAAACTAGTGTAACCCCGCCACATTCTGTATGTGCCTGTCCCAAGTCAGGAGCCTGTAATTCAGTGGTTGTCGTTTGCTGCTGTGTTACATATTTGTATTTCGTTCATTATTTTGTACATAAATTAGGCCGTTGGTTTCTCGTTTGAATTGTTTTACATTAGGGACCTTTTATAGCTCACTATGCGGTATGGGCTTTGCTCAGTGTTGAAGGCCGTACGGTGACCTATAGTTGTTAATTTCTGTGTCATTTGGTCTCTTGTGGAGAGTTGTCTCATTGGCAATCATACCACATCTTCTTTGTAAAACTCAAATTAAAAGAAGTCAGAGTCCGATGTAAGAATAGGTAACAGAAGAAACTACGCAAATGACAATAATAAACATAAACAAAAAAAGGACTACTAGCAGTAACTTGCATGCAAGCTCCAGGCTAGGAGTACTATTACCAGGAATTTTGCATTTCTTGAACAATTAAATCTGTGGATATTTGGTCAAATAAAATAATGTTTTTACTAAGTAACAGAACATATAAAAAGTATTCTCTTTTCTAACTGGGGGTTTTGTTCTCAAATAGGATTTTTATCTTCAATAGGATTTAGTTTTTGTCCGATATTTTTTTTTCTCCCATAGGAGGTATTTTTCTCCCTAGGAGGTTTTTTTCTCCCATTGGATCTTTTTCCCCTTATGATTTGCTTTAATCTCCCATTGGATTTTTATTCTCCCTTAGGACTTTTTTATCCCTTTGGATTTATTCTAATTCCTTAAGATTTTTTTATCCCACAGGATATTTTTTCTGTAATGAAATTCCTAAGGACTTTTATTAATCCTATCGGATACTTTTTTTTTCATTAGAAAAATATCCCAAAGGATATCAAAAATATTCTACGGGATTATGACTTTATCCTATAGGATTTCTCAAAATCAAAAGTTTTTGGCGGGGCTTGTATTGCTCAGTCTTTAGTTTTAATTTTCGTACAGTCAAGTGTTTGTGAACTCGTTCAATGGCAAAATATTAGACTGAAACGTGTTTGTGTGTGTGTTGGATGGGGGGGATTTCAGAAAGTGAAAAGCAAAGCAAAACATTTTCTATAGTCAAATAGTCTAGAAGTTAGTTCAATTTGCCCTGGCTCCTACGCCCCTTAGCACTATATTTCAATTTCTGCATTTAAGCATACCTAGCAATGTTTCGCTTACGCGGTCAAATTAGAGGGGAGTTAACTCAAATATTTATCTAGAAAATTAACCGTATTCATATCATTTATTATTGGTGTCATCATGTGAACTTTCATATTCACCTCGTAAATAATCAACCGCATTATTCGTTAGATAATACAATTACAAATGAGATAACAATTTCAAACAGTGACAATAAACTATAATGGGAATAGTAAGTTATTATTACTTGAATGGTATAAAGCGCTGCATTGAAAAAAACATTTTCAAAGTTCATCAGCTATGAGACGGCTAGTTTTTAGAAAAGCTATTACTTGTTATTGTTGTCATCATGTGAACTTTCGTATTCACCTCGTAAATGATCAACCGCATTATTCGTTAGATAATAAATGAGATTACAATTTTAAACAGTGACAGTGAGCTATAATGGGAATAGTAAGTTATTATTTTATATTAAAACCCTGATTAAACGGAGTAGTCGGGCATAAGTCAATAAGACAGCAGCCCAAAGACAAAAATAATCAAAACGACAAGAAGAGGGAAAACTTCAGTCTTTCGACAACAGACAGGTGTTTATGTAAAACAATAAATCGTGTTTGTTATGGGCATTGCACAAGATCATGCATTCCTGTTTATGACGATGATGTATGAATGGGTCTACAATCTGTCTTTTGTGTTTTGTATCGATCTGATGAGTTAAGCCCTTTTCAACTGATTTTTTTTTATAGTTTATTGTTATGTTGTACTGTTACACCACTGTTACACTGTTAGCTCTGCCACATTATGTATGTGACTATTGGAAGTCAGGAGTCTGTAATTCAGTGGTTGTCGTTAAACTTTGTTGCTGCATTTCATATTTGTTTTCCGTTTACTAGTATTGTTTTGTACATAAATCAGGCCGTTAGTTTTCTCGTTTGAATTGTTTAACATTAATTTTGTCATTTCAGGGCCTTTTATAGCTTACTATGTGGTATGGATTTTGCTCATTGTTGAAGGCCGTACGATGATCTATAATTGTTAACTACTATGTCATTGGGTTTCTGTTGCAGAGTTATCTCATACCACATCTTCTTATTTTTCATATTTGAAGTACACTCACCGATATTGGATTGTAGGATAATATGATTTTAAATCAACAGGTTTAGCAATTTCAGATTGCTTTCAACAACTGCAAACATTTTTTGATAAAGTAAATAGTTTTTGTATTTAATTATTTGTTATTTATCATACCGTTACTTTTGAGGAAAATTGTTTTTTTCCGTAACTAATTCTAATTGTATGTTATTTTATGTATTTGTTTTACTATTTCAATTAGAGTTGATGACATGTCTTTGATTTCTATTCGATTTATTCAGACCTTTTTTACTTGGGGGCAATTATGAGTTTGTCAGTTCATTGTCGGATCCAGGGAGTGTTCCGGGGGTTGGAACATTTTTCGATTTATTTATTTATTCTTATTTATTAATTATGTGAACGTTTCATGATGTTCCAGGGGTTCGAACCCCCTTTCAAAATTGCTGGATCGCGCCTTTGACATATTGTATAATATATTGTTGAAGACTCTATGATGACTTCCAGATGTCTTATAGCTGTTTGTGTCGTTAGGTTGCTATATTATCTATATATCACTAGTATACTTATATAAGATTAAATAAGCAGTGAAATGATATTTCAATAAAATGGAGCAACCGATCGCGACTGGTAAGGGCTAAACCATTTGATTTTCTGGATAAGAGGATTTTGAAAACGAATATCCTGGCCTGGTAAGAGCTGAACATAAATAATCTTGCATAAGGAAGGATGCAACACAAATGCAAAAAACAATTGTGTACAAAATGAAAATAAATTTTCGCGCGGATTGCGTAGCAACATTCAGAAATAAATAGTCAATCCGCAAAAGATATTCTCTTATAACCATTAATTTTCGACTACTTCAGTAGCCATCAACAATCTAGTTAATCATTTGCTTAACAGATTTATTTGCAATGTTTCACTAAACATATATTTAATGTTTAAATTGTAAAATCAAACAAGGGCTTCGATTTTCGAACTGTTGGTTTTTTTCACTGTTTTGCTTTTAACGCCACATTTTTTTGGTTATCACGTGTCCGATGTAAACCACAGATCATTGATAACGAACTGAAAAACTCTTTGTTTTAAAGTAGATTGAGTGCACCTTACCACTAAGCCCTATAGTTTTCAGAGCTTACAGTGTAATAGGAAAGCAGTCTAAATCATGGTTATAAAATAAACAAAAAACATCATGAAGCTTTTGTTAGTTTCTACTTCTGTTTGTACTACATCATTTTATCTTTTTTAGGTTATTTTGATACTGTTTTTCTTTCTCCCCGTAATGAAATGCGACAGCTGTCCTGCTCCGCCACAATGTAGTTGCCAATATAATATAATCTACTGTAATCATTTAAATCTGACTGATGTTCCAGAGTTTTCGAAACCAGTCAACGAAAATATGACATGGGATATTGAACTGCATAATAATAAAATAAAAAGAATACGGAATGGCGCTTTCAAAGACCTGAAACTTGAAATGCTTCTTATATTTGCCAATGAGATTGAAGTTGTTGAGGAGGACGCTTTCAGTGGAAGTGAGGACACTCTGTATGTCCTCCATCTGTATAATAATAAACTGACTAGTGTTCCATCTGCTGCTGGTAAAATGAGGAAGCTTATGGGTTTAGATATCCATAATAATCCTATATCTACAATCAGGGAAGATGTTCTTAGAAGCGTTTCAAGCACATTGTCCGGAATTATGTTTGGTGATACAAAAATGACCTCGTGGCCAAATTCTTTAAACGTTTTGTCAAACCTGGATTCAATAACGATTGAAAATTTAAACATCGCACGAATTCCAGAAGATGCATTAACTAATTTTCGCAACCTGAGTAGTTTTGAGATGATTTCAACGAATGTCAGTAACATTCCAACTTCTCTTGGTGATCGCTCATTGTTGGAAGATATAAATTTAATAGATAATCCAATGCTTACAACTGAAAGCTTTGAACCTAAGACATTTATCAAACTTCCTACCCTTATGCGAATGACGATTATGCATAGTAGTATAACTATTTTGCCGAACATCTTTCGTAAACTTAATAATTTGTTTATGTTGCAGCTAGAGAACAATCCTATTACATCAATTCCGGATAACGTGTTTAATCTGAATTTCTCCTCTAGTTTTTGGTTTATGACACTAAAGAACACATCTTTGGCCAGTGTTCCAAAGGCTTTATCAAACCTAACTAGTCTCACTCGACTTGATTTTATGACAAGCTTAATAACGGAAATTCAAGATACCGATTTCAGTAAAATGGATAAACTAGAGAGAATGTATTTCACAAACAGTCCATTGCATACCGTATCCGACAATGCTTTTCATGGACTTAAGTCATTGAAGTATCTAACTCTGGATAATACACATCTTACTGCCGTACCGAAAGCAACGATGAATCTACCATCACTTTCAGAGCTAAGTTTATCAAATACCAAAGTTGTTTGTACATGTACCAATCTAGGATGGATTAAACAATGGCCTAGGCACAGTGAAGTGGAGATATACGGAAGTTGTTACAACATTAGGATGACGATTGCATTATATGTTTATAAAGAGCTGCCAAAGTGTTAATACATATCTGTATTAAATGTTACAGTGATGCAGGGAGTTTATTTTTTTAAGCTATTACCCTATTATGATCACATATAAAAATAAGGAGATGAAATCTGATTTTCAATGTTATTTTTCTTGCGAAAAATGGTCTTACGTACTTAATCATGTTTATGTAAATGAAAGATCATTTGACATTTTGTCATGAGATGCTTTTGTTAATATTTTAAAATTGTGTGTCAAAATGTTCTTCTATATAAAAAAAAGGAAAAGATCTCTTCAAAAAGCCTAAACAGTCATAAAAAAGGATTAAAGAAAGAGAACACTCAGGCATGCAAAACATCCCAATACATACAAAAACACTATTAAAATAATTTAACTGAGAACGCAGGAACATTTACGTGTTTTCATGGAACTTATCCCTTGTTAAAAAAAGACGGCCATTGAATTTGTAGTGATAATGAGCTGTCATGAGACCTTTTCAAAACAGTTAATCTTATTCCGATTGTGTCATTTCGAACCTCCTGGCAAAGTGAAAGTAAAATGTTGAAAGTAAAATATTTGTTTACCTTATTTACATCATTTTATTTATTTTGATTTCTTTTATATTATGTTCTGCATGGTTGTCGATGCGATTTTTCTAAATTTCAACTAAACGCTAAAAACATTTCACCAAAAATATTTTGTGAAATGACAGCATAGAAACTTCTTTTTCTTCCGGTAAAGTATAGGCCTTCCAGGGGAGTATTATCGTACCGTTGACTTTAACATACTTGATGCGAGAAAAACATTGTGGAAAACGTGCATATATATACAGTGCAGTTATGCTCCATTAAAATCTGGCTAAAACGACATCACTGTCTATAGTATCTGGACACCCTGCACACCTTGTTTGTATGACTCAAGGGTTGTGCATGATACTAAGGACGCTGGTAGTCCATTCCAGATTCGGATTGTTTTAGGGAAGAGCGAATGCCTGTAAACATCAGTCCTGGAAAATAGTACCAAGAATCTGTCATGATGTCCCCGAGAGTGGATGTTAGTGGCATTAGATGAATTAATGATGAAATAGCCACAAGGTTGTTTACGATTCTGTACATCATGATCACTTTGCAATTTGCTCTTCTCCATGCAATGTCACCCAGTTAAGAATTTGTAGCATTGATGATACTCCACTCATTATGTTGTAGTCATTTAGGACGAATCATTGTGGATCGTATTTGCATTGATTCTAGTTTGTATATCTTATCCTTAATTGCCGGGTCCCAGATGGTACAGGAGTATTCCATTATTGGTCTTTTTAGTGTATGAAAGCAAAGTGCTTGAGTTTGGCTAGGTCAGTTTCTGATGTTTTGTTGGAGGAATGCTCTGGTTTGGTTAGCCTTGTGATGTTGCTAATGTATTGGTTTCAGTTGAGGGTTTTGTGTATGGTAACCCCAAGTATTTTGCTGCGTCGACTTCTTCGAGTACGTGTCCATGTATTTCTAATTCGCAGGTATAATTTTAGTGGCAACCATAAGCAGCTGACATTTCTAGGGGTGGAATTCCATCTGCCAATATATTCCCACTGTTGTAATCCGTCCAGATCTCTTTGCAGCTCGTCAGTATTTTTTTCTGATGGTACAAGACACAATCATCTGCAAATAGCCTGACTTTTGATGTTGATACATACTCTGGTAGATTATTGACGAACAGCAAAAACATGAGAGGGCCTAATACACGTCCTTGTGGTACCCAGGACTGTACAGTTGCCGACTCGTATAAATGTCCTTCAAGTAGAACACGTTGTTGCCTGTTTCCCAAGAAGTCTTTTAGCCAGGTCAGAGTTGTACCCCTTATACCATAATGGTGTATCTTGTATAGAAGTCTTTTATATGGTACATTTTCAAGGGCCTTGGAGAAATAAAGTAGGACAAGGTCCATATGTCCTTTATTTGTTCACATTCCTCGCAAGGTCCTGGATGGTGAGTATGAGCTGGGACTCACAAGACCGCTCATTCCTGAATCCGTGTTGGGCATCATTAAGTATTGAGTGTTTCTCTGAGTGCTTCATGACGTTACTGCAGATAATTTGTGCTAGAAGTTTGCACAAGATGGCAGTGAGTGAGAGTGAAACTTATGAGAAATTGAAAAAAATACCCACAGATTACATGCCATAAATATGAATGTATTGAACGAGTACATTTTCAATAATTGAAGTTATTAGTATGTCATCTGACAGTGGTGTTTGACAATTTTTTAAAAGGGAAAAGTGGTTTAAGAGTGAATTCTTTCTGATAGGTTTGATAGTTTAAGGCACATAGTATAAATCCTTTTTATTGAGTTTTAGTCTGTTTTACAGGGCATATCTTCGGGGGCGTCTGTAACCACAACCCTGTTTTTTATTGACGACTTGCATCTAAATATGACGACCATGATAATAATATATAAAGTATTCGATGGAAACACAATCATAAATACATTATATGCCTTTGAATTGATTTTGAATTAAAAATGTAGTATACATATAAAAGGATAAAAGGGATTACCCAAAATACTGGACAGTACAACAGACCACCACAACCACCAAAAGTAGTACAAACGAAGAAAAACAACAACGAACAATAAATGATCCAAATAGCCTGACTTGGTTACAGGCAACAACTATGGTCATCCTTGGAGTTTTCCCGTGCGGCAGTAAATCTTTTGATTAAGTTGAGCGTTCGTTCGGCTGTGTGTGATGTATAAATACACAGTCACGTCCGTATGTTACTTGGGCGTTAAGTTTGATGCCTCGTGTATGGTGAGTGCCAAGCCCTCTGCACATGAAATAACTCTTGCAATAACTACATGAGTGCTCCGTATGGGACCCATTTCAAGGCAAAACTTCTCACGCCCTTTTTTCGTGTGGAGGTCCAAATTTCCAGCCTTTCATCGCGGTCGACCTACTTCGCATAACCTTTATATTGTATAAATTGCTTTGTTTTGGGTTTTTTTTGTCCTAAATATGCATGAAATATTCGCCATATGAGCAACAATCAATCAATCAATCAATCAATCATTCAATACTTGAGTTTTAATATATCATTTTTCAATGTTTAACTTCTGTTACATCACAACTAAAGGAAGAATAAGAAATAACAATAATTTTTATTTTTATATTAATTTGAAACTATGCAGAATCTGTAATCTTAGCCTATGTGTACTTTTTTTTATTCTAACGTTGTGCTGTTACCCCATTATTAGGGGGAGGTAAGTGTTTACAAACATGTTTAACCTATCCACATTCTTTATGTGCCTATCCCAAATTAAGAACTTGAAGTGCAGGGGCGTGTTTTTTTGTTCTTCGGTAGTGAGCCAGAAGAGGTCCATTTCTGTTTTTTTTGCATTGGGAAGATCTTCTGGCTCTCTTCTACCTCTTCCTTTTAAATAGGTAGTTTAGACGGGAAAGGCACATAACAAACATGGCATCGCTTAGTCTAAATGACATTAGTAAATTTATGAATGCAGATACAATTGAATGTGAGCTGTGTGATAAACGTTTTTATGGTATGGCAGCCTTAGTAGGACATCCCTGTAGGGCCATAAGCTGGATAAATACAAGAACTACACGGACAATATAACAGTAAGGGGATGGCTATTTGATATTCCGGGGAAGGGGAATGGACAGAGGAGTTTTTGCGAAATCAGTTTATTCATTTTACTCTGTCACTAAGCATTTCCATTCTCAATTTTATCTATTTTTCAGCTCTTACCAGTCCACCGTATTCATATTCAAAATACTCCTGTCACCCCCACTAAAAACAATAAATCAAATGGTTTTCCCCTTATTTAACACGAGTTTAAATTGATTAATTGTTGGTTGCTTAACCTTAAAGTCTTGTGACTAATATTTCATACATGTTTAGGAAAACACGAGTCTAAAAGTCAGGTATATAATATCAAAAGAAGGAGATGTGGTATGATTGCCAATTAGGTAACTATCAATCTGAGTTCAAATGAATTCGGTGTCAGCAATTATAGGCTACCGTACGGCCTTCAACAGTGACAAAATCCCATACCGTATAGTCGCCTATAAAAGGCCCCGACATGAAAAATTTTGAAACAATTCAAACGAAAAAAACTAAGTCCTTATTATATATAACAAAACAATTTACCAAAAGTCAAATATGAGACCGATGTGAACCAACAACAACCATTGAATTACAGGGTCCTGACTTTGGACTGGTTGTCGCACATGAAGAATGTGGCAGGGTTAAATATGTTTGTGAGCGCTCAACCTTTCCTTAACTGGGACAGTGATGTAACAGTACAACATAAGAACAAACTGTAAGTTGCAATTGGATAAACACAACAGATCGAGAGAAAAAAAAACAAAAAAACAAAAAAAACATTAAGACAATAAACACAAAGCACCGAACTAAGAGTATTTGCAGTAATTGAAAGCTTGTTCAAAGCCAATTAGAACTAACAAATAAATCATATTCTCCCAGACGAGAAAAGACAATCAGTACGCAACAAACGGATTTAGTCCTAAGCAGTCTGACTAACGCCCCAACCTTGTATACCTTGAATACATATACAATTAAGGTTCTTGAAAAGTGTTGGTCCGAACTTTTTGATCATCGAAATGTTGCAAGGAACGGCACAATTTTGGTATTTTGCAATAGAAATAATAGTGAGGACCAGCAGATTTTCTTCAAGAACCATGCACTAGTGAATAAAGATTTTGAGAACATTGCGATATCTTTTGTATACAACAATAATACAACTTTGTTACTTTAAAAAAAAAATTATAGACAAGATGTCCTTTTCGACAAACATTGACAAATTCTTGTACAGTTTTAAGATTATTCCTGAAAACTAAATGGTCGGAACTTTAAGCCGGATTTGTTTAGCTAAATTAAGTTAGAAAAGCATAAAGAAAAAATGTCACGAACACATGCAGCGGTTTCTTCCAACCAATTTTCTTGTTTTTACAATGATAATATAATTACATGAATGCCAAAACAGAGAACACTAACATAGTCATGTCTACCTAT